CGATTTCTCGCGCAATTATTGGCCGAGAGCCATGTACGGTCCATGTCTATAGAGAGGAATCAATGTTGGCGCAATTTGTTTTTCTCGGTCTATCGCGCGCTTTTTCCACCCTTCGCCCAAGATGAGCTTTAAAAACTTTCTTCGTTTTTGTTAAAAACAAGAGGGCAACATTTTCAATTCGTATCAAATAGAGTACTTCCGTGCCTCAGCGACATATTACAGAGAAGACTTTTTTAATTGATTTGTTGAGTAGGTAGGAGAAGATTTGCCTAACCAGTCACCTGACAACTTGAGATTGAAGGAGTCGGGAAATATATTTGAGCACTAAAAAAACTTCCCTTTTCGTTTGCTACTACAAATGAGAAATTCTTTCCTAAAGTAAAAGATTTAAGGGTAGACAGCAAACATTCGGTTAACGAAGAATTCTTTTCTTTCGCCTTGGTTTCTTGGCCTCATTAGTTTAGAAAGCTTTAGATTAGAGGACGAAAACGACTACGAGTACGAAATTTGATGTTAAGTTTTTTCCCGTATTCTCAAAAAGTAGACTCCCCCTAAAGTTTCATTTTACTAGTCTTTTCAAGAAAAGTTAGCACTATTATCTAAATTAAAGAAGGTTAAGCCCTCTCCCGATTACAAGATGATAAAATTTCTTACATTTAATAGCTCGTTTCCGCCACTACGACATCCTCTCTAAAACTCGTAGCAGAATGACGACAGCTATCACGTTTTCCCGCCAAAATAATACTCTCTGGTTCACGCGCGTACGCTACTTAGTCGTAATCTCGCCCTCGAAGCTAAAGCTCTCTGTTAGTTTACATGGTCAATTCTACTGTACGTCACCTGTGAGGTCCTCGAACATTACTTACAGTTGCTTGGCAATGACTTGCATTTTCGTACGTTTTAGGTTCGAGATGAGTCTCTTCAACAACAGGTTAGCCAACTTCAAGTGGACTTAAGACGTGCTAAGGAAAGGTTTTCACCAGAAATGAAACAGTTTCATTCTCTGGAAACTAAAATAGCTGCTATGGAACAAAGACATTCGCAGAGAGAAGTAGACTTGCAACGAATTATCGAGAAAACACTTTTAACAGCAAAAATCGAGAAGGAAGAAACGGAGGCGAAATGGAGACAAGTTGTGCGACAGAAAAATCGGGAGATTGAAAAATTTCGCTATGAACTTGACGCTATTCTTGAAATACTAAGCGAGCTTAAACGTCAAGGAGTAGTGATACCTTTACGAAATGAAGAGGGATATGTTCCTTGACAGAAAGCCTCTCGGGTGTCTTGATATAAACGCAACGCATCAAGGTTGTAATGATTTCTTAGCCTGAGAAAACAACCAACATTTCGCCACGACACCACTGGTTTCCCCCAAAATGACATCTGAGGAGTGAATACAGAAATTCCACACTGATGACGCGTCACTACCCAGATCTGGGTAGTGACGCATCATCTGCGGTATGGAATTTCTGCGGTCGATCCTCAGGCGTCATTTTGCGGGGAAACCAGTGGTATCGTCGCGAAATGCTTCTTGATTTCTAAGGCTAGTAATTTTTATACGAAATGAAGAGGGATATTTTCCTTGACAGGAAACCTCTCACAAACCCTTACGAATCTTTTTTGGATATGAAGAAAAAAAAAACAGTCTCTTTGGTGTGAACGGGACGCATTAAACAAGCTTAGCCTAACTCATCTTCGAATGTGAACATGAATGTAAAACCCTACAGAAGAAAGAAGACCACAAACCTTGAAGAAAATCCTATCATGCTTACAAGGACAGGACAATCCATAGGGGGGTTTGGTGTCTGTAACGAAAGCGAAAAGATAACTCACGGTTCATAAGTGTTGATAACATAGGAAAACTAGCGATTTTTGGTATATCTTGTAACCTACGAGGGCCCGAATCTACTAGACAAAGAAGCATGTGCTTCTTGCCAGCAATTTCAGATTTTCTGCTTGTTCATTTTCAGTTTTCTGCTTTTGGGTACGTTTAGCTTTTGTTGATTTCAGTTCAGTTCATCGAGAAAGGATCTGTCTGCGGGTGGACGCAAGGTTAGGTGAAACGTAAGGTCTTGCGAGTAGGTCTCTGTTCATTCCTTTTCCAAGATCCCCGGGGAGTTTATCTTTATGCGAGGAACCCCTCGTTTCCCTAACCAAATGACGCAGGAAAAAATGCCTTCGTCTCGGGGAAAGAAACTGCTATCAATTTGTTTGCTTTGATATGCCATGCTTGCTTCACTGAAATAGCTTTCGGAAACAACTTTTGTCTAACTTAGGGAGTAGGATTGGCGCAGCACAAACCCGCTCCCTCCTTTGTGGCCTGGGTTCGAAACCCAGGGCGACGCCACATATGGGTCGGTTTGTTATTGGTTCTTCCCTGAGAGATTTAGCTCAGGGAACTCCGCTTTCCCCTTCTCAAACCGACATTTGATTAGGAATATGGTAGGTAGACGTTTTTTATTTATTTGCTCGAGCAAATTTTCTTGTCTAGGAACAAATTTGTCAGAGAAAACTTGCTAGTGTACTAGGAGGCTAAAGTTTACTCGTCAGTTAGCATTTCTAAAGCTTCAGTTAACTCTCGTCACCGTCGGACCTTATAATGTTTTCTCGCATCAAATATCAAAAGAAGTCGGTCTATTTGAAATTTATTTTTATAAAAATCCAAGGAAAAATTAAATTATTGCAAGAAAAGGAAATTGATTCCATGGCAAAAAAAAGGTAAAGGTATGGTAAAGGCCACTCTTTGTTTTCTCCATCGCAAAACTCTAGGTTTTGGACAACTTTCACTTTACCACGGCAGTATACTAACGCAACTAACCTAGATGAAACTGATTCAGCGTTTAAATCTTAACTTAGATGAAGGTGGATAGCCTTGTCCATCACTCTACGCAGCTAATCACTCTTCTTCTAGATCTCAAAGTGACCAACTGCCATTTTTAACACAAACAGTCCTCAAATCTGATTTGGTGATAACAGAAACGTAACTAATTGTAATAAAAGAAGTCGAAAAACACAGACTTTTACGCGAGACTTAGATAAATATTATCGGTTGCAGCAAATGATTGGATGTCATCTAGATAAATATTATCGGTTGCAGCAAATGATTGGATGTCATCTACAATAAAGTTCACAAGAAACAGCGGGTTTTTCCTCGGTACAATTTCAAGTATCGTAAGAGTCAGATCATCAGTATAAGGAACGCGCGGTTTGCTTGGACACTACCAAAGTCGCCGGTTTACTATAACTGAAAATAATATTGGACCTAGTTTCGTTACTTGGGGAATAACGCCATTCAATAATCGATTGATGAAAATATTTTAATGTCTAAAACTAAAATCCTGAAAAAAAGATGTTCAATGAGATTGCACTCTTTACTTAAGCGGGGGGCGTTATGAGCTAGTTATTTTTTTCTAAGCTTGCGAGCGGGCGGAATCCGCCAAATCCCATAAGTCCCGAGAGCAGGCGGTTTTTACGATCTTGCCCGCTAACCCGGGCGGAATCGTTGACAGCTTCATTCACAAGTTTGTTTGTTGTTTGTGAATGAGCCAAAACCGTGATTTTTAAACCATTTTTCTTTTAAAACTTGGGCTATTAAGTAATGATCCGGGTAAGGTGGATAGCAATTTCTTTTGTTAAGCGGCAACGGTGCTTTCCCCACATAGGAATGTTCTCATTTTTACACAGAGAATGCATAAACCTACATGAAGGCCGTTTACGCAATAAAATGCATTTACACTCCACTTTGAAAGGGTGTTTCTTTGTGTTAAAAGATTTCGACCACTCACAAGAGTTGAAAACAATAGCCAAGAAAAGTTTACAATTTTATACATGTTCCCCACAAAGGATTTCTTTGTTATTCAAACTGAGACCACATTTTGTTATATGGAAGATGGTTGGAAAGTAAGGATGATTATACATGTATGTACTGCTTTATGAAGTTTTGTTAACTTTTGCTGTTTAAGCCAATCAGAAGTAAGTACAGACAATAGAAAAGTTAGCACCTTTTTTGCATTCCAACATGTTCGTTGCCGTTGTTGCTATCGTTCTTATCTGGACCGTTTCTTAGTAGCATTAGCTAGGGAAAGTGAATTTTATTATTCAGACAAAAAATCTGAAGGGATAATCAAGCAAGTTAGCCAGGAAAACCGCTAAAGTAAAGCAAAACGGGCGGTTCATGATGTCGCTTCATTAACTTTTTAATAACCAACGCTGTAAGTACTGCAATCTTGCTTTTATGCACCGTTAATTCGACATTTTTGATCGGTTTGTAGTTTTGCTTTCCATTTTTCTAGATTCTGCCGTTTTTCATTGAATTTTGTCTCGCTACTTTTCAGAAAAGGTTGTTGTCAATGATTGCATTTAGCTTTCATAAACAACAGGAATCACCCAGTTTCTAGCAGTCGGTTATCGCCTTTTTTATTCCTTGTTTATATAATTGTTGCTCACATCGCCTTCTTTTATTCGAATTCAATTCAAAACCTTAAGATTGGTGTGTGTAATTAGCTCTTTTAATAAAGCTTTGGTGCAGTTTTTGTCCCGCTCGATTGAACTATAATCTTTAACTCAGCCGTAGAAAATCTTTGCTGTATTTTTTTTTTCTTGTGGCTATTAATACCAAGCTTTTCAATTTTTTTATCCTTGTTTGATACTCAGATTATGAATTGTCTACGAAGACACAAAAACCATTCTTTATTCTAAAAGAGAGGTTAATCGTGATAATACAAATTACAAGCTAAAAATCATGTTTTGCAATCGATCGCGCGCTTCATCAACACGAACGCGTCCTACAACAAACGTACAGTGTAGGTTGGAGGCTGACGTAAAATTTTCCTGAAACTTTTAAATCTCAGTAGGAAGAAATAAAAATGTTATTCACCGGTCTAGGTTGGTCCGTATCGGGAAAAACTGTGCCCTCGGTCTGAGTACCGGCACAGTTCTCTCTTGGTTACACCCATTACAGACCTCCGAGCCGGTGAATAACATATCATCGGCTCCATGTCTTAATGATTGCTTTGTGCAGTTACTCCGATATATATGTCCCAGTCGCTGTCAGAGGAAAGGTCGAAATATGGACAATTGTCATAGGAAATTTCCAGCTTAGGTACTTTTCCTTTCACGGCCTCCCGAACATAATCCAAATCTTCTTTCGAACAATCAGTTCCTGGTTCGAAGAAAACACGTCGCAGGCTTTTTAGTTTTAGTAAATGTGGGACTATCTGTCTTACTGCATGACCAAGTGGGTTACCTATCAGGCTCAGCCGTCGCAGTTCAGGGATGAATTTCATATTCTCGAGGAGACTAAATAAGTCAGTTTCCCCCATGTCCAAGTCTTCAAGATGTAACTCTTCTAACAATGGAAAGAAGCAAAATTTTTTGGTGAGATGAGCAAGACTTCCTCTCACGTTGAAACGGACGATCGTTAAAAACTTCAAGCCAGATGGCCTGTTAAAGCTATGAAACAGTGTCTCCATTTCGGCCTTGTGTTGCAAACTGTGTCCTTTTAAAGAGCCCTTTATTTCCAGTAATTGTAAGGCTGACAATTCAGGCAGCGACTGACCTAGCGCCGCTGCTACTGCTGACGTTAGGCTAATGCTACTCAGTTTCAGGTTCTTCAGAGACTTCAGGTTGATTAAGGCATCACACAATCTTTCTACTGCATCATCGGAGCATTCACCCAGTTGAAGGTCAACGAGGTTGACGTTTCCAAACCTCAGTAACAAAGATGCAAGGTTTACCGCTCCAGCTGATGATAACCAACATGACTCGATTGACAAAGAGCACCTGCCAGGATTTGGTACTTGCACCAGGAGTTGACATAAAGAGTCATCACTGTAAGAAACTTCAACGCGTTTCAAATGATTACAGTGTTTGATGACCGCAGCGAGTCCTAGCGTTAAATTACCTTCCAGTCGTTTACAATATAAGGATATTAGGAATTGCATGCATGAATGCACTGAACTTAAATATGTTGAATCAGATGAAACCGCAATATCAGTGAATAGCCTGGCGTGGTTTTCGCACCGCAGCTCTAAGTGTGTGATGTAAAAGTGGACTTGGTCATTTCGGAAACAAAGTACTGAGCCATACTGACAAGGAGCATTACGTGAGACAATACAGTTAGCATTCTGGAACTTTGTTGAAAATTCACCAAATATGATTCTAGTTAGCCAACGGGGGCGGACGCGTCTAAGTACTCTAGGGGGCTTACCCACTCTTGAGACCCCAGATTTTGCATTCACAAAATACCAGAAACCTTTTTCAATAACTATAGAACAAGGGTTTACATCCCGTTCGTTTGGCAGAAGGTCAACTGGAACTGGCCTTGAAACAAAAAGGATCCCTCCAAGGCAATCAAGACAAGTCTTTGACAACTTAGCTTTTGCTTCAACCTCTTCAAATGAGTCTAAAACTAAGTCGTTGAACTTTCTTTGACGTTCAGTGACGTCACTTAGAGGTACACCTGTCTTGTTTTCCTCTTCGGGTATTGCCTTCGATAAATCCAGCGAAGGATCGGAGAGTCTGACGGACTTAAAATGGCTCAAGGCCGTCTGTGCTCCTTCCTCACTCAAGCCACATATGAACTGGAATACATTTTCCAAGGCTAAGCAATCCTCCAACTTTACTCCAATTTCACTTTCGAGATTCCCGCTTTCTGGTATACATCTGAAAGTGATGTACCATGCGGCCAGAAACTCCTGTATGCTCTTGTGTATAAAGGACACCATTCCAACAGGCCGTAGGGATTCAGAATATTCGGTCATTTGTAGTAAACCGATGAAGACGCCTTCTTCACAATTGGCAGTATCGGACAACTGATTATACTCAAACAAATGATCATCTTTCAAAAGACATTGTAAAGCGATCTTTCCTATCTCTGAGAGGACCGCCTCGAAAGATTGTACTTCAACATACTGGGGTGGCGATTGCTTTCTATGGCTGTGATTTAGAATAAACTGAATAATACCCATGTACAATTTAGTTTTAGTTTCTGGAAATTGCTTTAGTTGCCCCTCCTTCCAGAGGGTACAGAAAAATAGGAGAAGTAGAGGGACTTTCGCCAGTTCAAGAAGTTTTCTCTCGTGTAAAATATTCTCCAGTTTAAACACTTCCTTTTCTCGGAAAAATCTCGCCATAAAGTCTCTCCTGTCAGGTCCTTGAAACCCTGTGATTTCAACACTCAAGTCTTCACTTCCACTCAACTCGTCAGCTTTTGAAATACGAGTTGTTATTAATACACAGCACTCTCTCAAGCTATTTCCCATGAAAATGTCGTAGATTTCTGAGTTGCGTCCACATCGGTATTCGTCGTAGCCGTCGAAGATCAAAAGAACTTTCTCTTGGTTGTTAGTGATGTAATCGACAAGGCCTTCTGTCATATATTCGTCTTCCTTCGCAAAAACACCAGAGAGTCTTATTACATCCCTAAAACTTTGACATTTGGACACTTCTTTGAGATTCACTGCAACCACAAGTTCAAAATTCTTCAGGACAGCTGTTTTTTCATCACTTGTCTTCTTCTGGACATCCACCCAGTCCACAAGCAACTTTTTGACAAACGTGCTCTTTCCGATTCCCGTCTTCCCTTGCACAAGTATTCGTTTTGGAATGATACCGAGATCAGTGTCTTCAGGGAAAAGATCACTGTAAAGGTTTAACTCAAAGTGCCTTCTCCCAGCTGGGGTTTGCTTCTCCTTCACCAAGGATAGTCGAGTGTAAATCTCGCGAATGTCAACAACGGATTTCTTACTCCAGACAGAGGTGGGCACAGATGCTGTTCTTTGGTAATGATCTTGCAGTTTGCGTCGACAGATGTTAAGATGGAAAGGCTTTACAGGAGAAGCCTCTGAGGACAAAAAAAAAGATAGAAATATTATGGTAAACTAAAATTTCATAATCTGTTCTTAAAAAGCACTGAGAAATAGCATGTGATTGAAAAAGCCGATCTGATAAACCATAAACAGCCGAGCTGGCGAGCAGCTTTTGCTATATTCATAATATCTAGCGATCAATTGACAAGATTTATATAATAGACAGATTTAGACGGAGTTACGTTCACGGCAAACGGCAAAAGTCACTTTGTACCACACGACCAAGTTTACTGTCTCTTTTCGTTTACTAATGGTTACATCTACAAACATTTAAGCCTTGCATGCGGGTATCAAACCAACAAAAGCCTCGTGAGTCTCGTCCTTGTTCATAGCCACTTGTAGGTATAAGTGCATTTTGGCCAGTGCATTCTCCACGGACCCTTAACATGGGACCTACTGCTCAGGAAACTCAACATACTAGCCCACTGGCCATAACCACCTTGTAGCTAAAAAAGAAATGACTTAAAAACACTTGGCCAATAATTTGATCTCAAACTAAGCTTACCTAATTTGCTATTGTTTGTTTTTAAACATTTCACTTCTGCCTCAATTTGCTCCACTTGGTCACACCTTTGTTCCAGTTCTTCTAGTCTATCACCTGCCCTGGCCTGGCTTTGCTCCAGTTGCTCTACTCGATCAGCTGTCTTGGTATGGATTTGTTCCACTTGTTCTACTCTATCATCAGTCTTGGTTTGGCTTTGCTCCAGTTGTTCTACTCTGTCAACTGTCTTGCACTGTCTTTGCTCAATTTGTTCTATTCTATCATCTGTCTTAGTTTGGATTTGCTCTATATGTTCTGCCCTTTCATTTGTTTTGGTTTGGCTTTGCTCTAATTGTTCTACTCTGTCATCTGTCTTGGTTTGGCTTTGTTCTAATTGTTCTACTCGTTCAACTGTCTTGGTTTGGCGTTGTTCCAATTGTTCTACTCTGTCATCTGTCTTGGTTTGCCTTTGCTCCAGTTGTTCTAGATTATCGACTGTCTTAGCAAGCCCTACTTCTACCAACTCAAGTCGCATGGATAACTGTGCTTCGAATGACAACAGTCTTTCCAAAACCTGTCCGATTTCTTCACTTCTATTCTTTACAACTTCTTGTAGCTTCTTTTCCATGGTGCTTAGAAAACTGGCTTCTTGACTTGAAAACTGATCTTTAAGGATGGAAACATCTTCTTCAGCCTTATCAATCTGTTTGTTCTGCAGATTCACTTGTAACTCGATGGTTTGGTAGTCCTTTATAAGATCTCTCACTTCATCTTGTACCAAATGGAGAAGATCTTTGTCTACAGCATGTCCCATGATCAACTGACAACCTGCAGAAAATTAAGATCGAAAATTAAGAGTCGTCTGGGGTAACAACTATAACCATGCATAACATTGTCTTGATTTTGAAGAAAAATTTTAGAGATATAAGAGGATGTTATGCTGAAGCGCAAGTGCAAACAAAATATCAGTAAGTTTAACCCGTATGTACGCCAAAAATTTGTTCGACGCTGAACATTTGTAATTTGATTCGATGCTCCATCTGGTTCTCTTTTGGAACTTCCTGCTATACAATCTCTTTGAACCTGTTGTAGACCCTCGACAGAACTCCCTTATAACATTTTGAGGACTCTATTTCTGTTCCTTCATCTGCATCAGGAGTAGACATGGCTTTGAATAAAATAACGCAACTATAATGAGACGAGTTATCAACATTTTTTGACTAGGAGATTTTTGGTTCTTTTCAACATTTATTCTGGGTTAACTCCGCCGCATTCTATACCTATATAATGAACTTGTCTACCATTTTTTTCAGCCAGTAATTACCTTTTGTTTGCCAATCAGCAAGCTCATTCAGTACTTTCCTTTCCACAACTGGTGTTAAGCCTAGACTCCTCACCAGTGTTTCCAGCTTGACAAAGCAATCATTGAACAGAGCATTTGTCCACTCAGTTACATCCACGTGGCCCCATTTGTTTCTCACATTTTCTCTGACATCATCAGCTGAAGCCTGGGTGTGTGGGGAGAACATAGGTATAGGCATGTAGTTTTTGAATCCTAGAAGCCGAAGGATGGCAGTCATGTCCAGCGACTCATCAAAAGCTGAGAACTGAGCAAGATACCCGGGTAGGTACAACTTAGCCAAATCTACGG